AAAAGATTAACCCTAAATGAATATTGTTCACATGAAGGGTTAGTTACGGTCACGGCATGAACTGGTGGGAATTTAATGTTTAATAAAGCTTGTCCGAAATTAAACCCACTGGACTTTTTTCGTACATAGGACAAAAAAAAACAAGATTGAATACTCAATGTTAGGATATTATAATAAAATTAAAATGCAATCCAGTTAATTTTATCTATCCATAAAGTAGTAATCTCGATTTGTCTGTTTGTATGCATATGTCCGATCATAACTCAGGAACCCCTGGACCGTTTTGCCTCAAATTTTGATTGGGGAATCTTAGCCCGAGTTGAGTGGGTTGACATTAAGTAAATATTGCAATCTACCACGCGGTGCCAAGAATACCAGCGGAGGGATCTATGAGATTCGGAGCTAAACTTTGTAGCTAAATTATTTCTGAAAATATTTCGTTTTCAAAATATTTTATAGTCCTTAGTTTGTGTAATATTGTTTACATGATTTAGGATCAGACTGACGGCTGCTTCCAGAAGCCGATGAGACGCGCCCTAGGAGAGCTGACCAACTCCCCCCGCCTCCTATCTGGTGACCTCCTTCTTTCACCTAGATTCCAGTCTCCTAATCATACCACCCCAACTAAGCAGGTAACGATTGTTTACTTTCTCAAGTGCTTTTTTTCTTACTAAAGAGTCCTCAAAATTGTAAAATGGACGCTTCCCAAAAATAAATTCAGATTTGAGTTCTAAGATTTCAACAAATCTAAGGAAATTGTACATTTCAGATAATATTGACATTTTTTAAAACAAGGAATTTTAACTGATTATTGGACATGAAAGCTGTTGTTCGGGATTGTGATTATTATTCGTTAATGTATGATGTGCCATTTATTGACCTTTAAAATGGCAGAACAGCTTTGATCTTAACGGAACAATTTTTCTGACTATTTCCCGGATTTTTGGATTCCGTCGTATTATAAGCTTTCAAACTTCATTTTTAATTACTTCCATTATGAATCTTCCGTATAATCACCAACGTATCCAAGCAATCCATTAACTGAAAATTTAGAAGTCTAAGCGTTATTTGTTTAAGTTAGGAAAGTCACATGAGATTCTACAGAGCCGTCCTTGTAATGCTAACTCCCTGATTCTTAACTAACAATATTATTGTGTTAAGGTTTCTAAATTATCTCCAGCTATAACTCCAACACATAATCTAAAACTTCTCACCGAACTTGCTGCAAAGGTTAGTGTGTGTACTTGCATGTCCAAATTTTTTAATATTTTCAAAATTTTTCTTCAGAATTAGAAGAGGGTTATTGATTTTAAGAACATATTTATTTAAAAAGATTGTGGGAAGGTAGGGAGGGGGGGGGATGAAAGGAATATGTCAAGAAAATAAACATTACAGTTTCTGATAATTATTTTTAATTTTAGGTCGCAGGATCCAATAGTTCAGCACGTCAAACTCTTCAATTCGAGGATATTGATACTACGAGGTATACACATCAACCTCAGTATCAACCCATCTATCCAGCCTCAAATATAGAAGATACAACCTCACCACACAGGTATTACTAGCCTCCGATATAGGAGATACAACCTCACCACACAGGTATATACTAGCCTCAAATATAGAAGATACAACCTCACTACACAGGTATTACTAGCCTCCGATATAGGAGATACAACCTCACCACACAGGTATATACTAGCCTCAAATATAGAAGATACAACCTCACCACACAGGTATATACTAGAAGCCTCAAATATAGAAGATACAACCTCACCACACAGGTATATACTAGCCTCCGATATGGGTGATACAACCTCACCACACAGGTATATACTAGCCTCCGATATAGGAGATACTACCTCACCACACAGGTATATACTAGCCTCCGATATAGGTGATACAACCTCACGATGTTGGTAGATACTGCCTCCATCTAGCCTCAAAAATAGAAGATACAACCTCACCACACAGGTATATACTAGCCTCCGATATAGGTGATACAACCTCACCCACAGGTATATACTAGCCTCCGATATAGGAGATACAACCTCACCAAATAGGTATATACTAGCCTCCATCTAGCCTCAAATATAGAAGATACAACCTCACCATACAGGTATATACTAGCCTCCGATATAGGAGATACAACCTCACCAAATAGGTATATACTAGCCTCCGATATAGGTGATACAACCACACCACACAGGTTTATACTAGCCTCCGATATAGGAGTTACAACCTCACCATATAGGTAGATACTAGCCTCCGATATAGGAGATACAACCTCACCAAATAGGTAGATACTATCCTCCATCTAGCCTCAAATATAGAAGATACAACCTCACCACACAGGTATATACTAGCCTCCGATATAGGAGATACAACCTCACCAAATAGGTAGATACTAGCCTCCATCTAGCCTCAAATATAGAAGATACAACCTCACCACACAAGTATATACTAGCCTCCGATATAGGAGATACAACCTCACCAAATAGGTA